TATGACAAGTTCACAGAAAGTGCAATAAGACTAGCATTTTAAGGTTAAAACTTCTTCACGCAGATTATTTCGGTATAATTTAGCTGGCAGTACGGTACGTAGATCATTAGCATATTAGCAAACTCATTAGAATTTTAAACCCCGGTTGTTGGAAAACGTTCTATTTAAGTAAAGTTTAGAATGATTTGTCTTTAGGATTGGGTTCACATGGACCCTGTAAAGATTTGTTAAGCACAATTTTGCGCCTGTTAAAGCTAATTTTGTAACTTCAAAGTTACATTGAGACAAGGGTTAGCAAGCTAAACATTTGATTCGCTTTATAAATATAAAATTTTTTAAATTTTCTGAATACATCATAAAAAATCGAAAAAAAGTGTTTCTCGAATTTTGAATGTATGAGACATCTATTACATGTAATTGTGGATGCATCCAACTGTCTATATTCTGGTTGAGTCGGATAAAGCACAAAACATTTCGAGTCGAGGCTCCGGAGAAACAATAGCGTAATCGTAATCATCACTGTTTCTCCGGTGCCTCGACCTAAAACATTTAGTGCTTGAACACTGAACCAGAACATCCTAAGCCAGGGCACCAGAGTGATACAAGCACCATTATCAACGTTATATTATTTAGATCATAAATCGTTATACATTTTTCTTTTTTCCTTTTTATTTCTCGTCTATTAATATTTAATATTCGTACTTAGTTGACTGACGTATCTGCTGTTGATTGGTTTCTGGTAATGCATGCCTTTACCGTTGTCATGGTGTATACGTACTTCTATTTGATTGACGTATCTGCTGTTGATTGGTTTCTGGTAATGCATGTCTTTACCGTTGTCATGGTGTATATGTACTTGTACTTTACTGACGTATCTGCTGTTGNGTTTCTGGTAATGCATGTCTTTACCGTTGTCATGGTGTATATGTACTTGTACTTTACTGACGTATCTGCTGTTGATTGGTTTCTGGTAATGCATGCCTTTACCGTTGTCATGGTGTATATGTACTTGTACT